TATGCAAGCCTTGTAACATTGCCCCAACTTGGAAGCATCTACCAACAGCACAATCTCCTGCTTCTGGTGACAGAACTCAAGGGAAGCTGCCTTAAAAACAACTTGCAAGATTGCGTTACCATGTGAAAAGGGCTTACAGGAGAGTCAAAACAGCGTATCGTTTTGAGTCTGGAACAAGGCAAGATACCATTGATTAGCTTGCCTCTATGCAAAGCAACAACTCCTACAGTTCTCAGCAATGGTAACATGCCAAACACTGCCTGCAGAATCTGAAAAGGAGCCAAAAACAGCTGCCTTGTACAGAGAGAAGATATTGCCCTGATGAACAAACAAACAACAAAAAAAAAAAAAAGATGGGTGGGAGAAGACGACATCAATTTTTCAGCTGTCTGGCTGCATGAATCTCGGTCCTGTAGAACCACTTGACTATTACTGGGAAAATGAAAGGTGTGAAGTAGATAAATATGCAAAGAGCTATACAGAATTTCAAAGCAAACAAAAATCCACATTTTATAAGATGGAAATAGAGTAATACAGTATTTTGGAATTAGTGCATTATACACTTCATTACTAACATGTTTCCCCTATTCAGCCTTTAAGTAAATAGGAATCTCCTTGGTTTCCACCAATATTGCTTTATTTGACTTTAGCGTCCTTGACAAATTCTCCCAGACTTGTAAACTGCTTTCTATGTCTTATCAGAAGAGAAAGCTGGCTGGGAAAGTTACCATTGCATTCCTTTCTTGTATACAGTTTGTTCAGAAGTGGTTCAAACACATTTTCTACTAAGATTTCCTTAAACTCACTTCTTGAATTGAGCTACTTACATACTGGGGAAAAGAGCAGCCTGGGACTTTGTAGGACACAGAAGAGCTACGGCCAGACAATGTAAGGCAGACAAGTAGTAAACTTTACAGTCGGCTGAGGAAATAGTAAAGAAATGGCCAACTACTCAATATATGTAAAATAAACAAGGAAATTATAAAGCGGTATTTAAAAATACCTAAAAATATTTCAGAAACCACTCTTGCTAAAAGTTGAGCAGATGCAAGCCCTAAAGGCCTCCATTTTAAATGGTAATGCCAGTAAATTTGCACTTCCAAATATCAAAAAGCAGCATAGTTGGGAAAGCAGAAGACTGAGGCCAGAAAAACAAGAAAAAGCAGAAAACTCTGCTAGTCCACATGTTGTTTTTTTTCAGCAAAAACTCTGATTTCTGTTCAGTTTCCTTTGCTTAGTTTATCCTACCAAGTCTTCATTTCATACCATCTTTGCATCTTACAACAAGTATGTGTAGAAACACCTTACTGAAAAAAGTCTATCTTCATAAAGCTGACAGCATGACAGCTTCTTTACCTTGGTAATTTTTATGTACTGAGTAGAGCACTTACGAGTTATAAGAAAATTTAGTTAAGTTTTGAATCAAGCAAATCACTGGAAGTTCTCCCTCCCTGTCTATATTCCAAAGAGTTACTTGCTTTCAAAACCCGAAACAAAATTTCTCCAAAATCCCATTAAAACCTATCAAAGTAGTGGGGGAAGGAACTGTCATGTCTGGGTATTCAGGCTCTTTAACTTACATACTGTACAAGCTCCAGAGATAAGTATGTGAATTCTTAAGGTTCATCTTGAGAAAGGCTCTAATGCTATGCTCGTCACCCAGATCATCACTTCTTCCTTACAACTTTTTAAACTTAAAAAGTGGTTATGAGAAAATCCATGACTCTCACTTGCTGAGATGAGCAAGGTAAGCAAGACAAGGATTGAGATTAAATGAGTCACCTATAATACCCTAAGGGCTAGAGCACATTTACTACCATAACTGCGTATTTCAGCTTTTATTTGTCAGTTGTTATAAAACAACATGACCCACAAGATTTCAAACACCTCACATACACACACATATATATGTGCACGCATTAATATTAATGAGAGACAAACCCAAGACTTTGAAATAAAGTCAAAGAACCCACCTATGTCTAGACACAAATACATGTAACAAACTGGTCAGATGTCTTTGCCAGGCCTTCAAAATTAATGAATCAAAAGAAAGAACTGAAGAATAAAGCCACGCTAACGAGGGTATTTTGTGAAACATGCACAGATACTGAGACCTCTATAATATTTTATCTTAAACCTTCAGCAAACATGGGCCAAGAAGAAAACCAAAATGAATTAATATACATACTTTGGAATAGGTCAATGAAATATGTCCACACAAACTTTATTAATGCAATCACAAGTTCAGTGAAGCCAAATGGACATCTCAACTGGTAAACAGAGTAATAAGAAACACTGTCATATCCAGTTAAAACAGATTTGCAAACAATAGGCAGCCTAACTAATGAGAAACATGAATGTAACTTACAAATTAAAAGACACCCTCAAGGTAAGAACAGCCCCAAAACACTCTCCACAAACTCAAGAGACCTAAACCAACAGACTATACTATCAAGAAAAAGTTTTTTACATGTCAAAAAATAACCTGCACATGAACACAAGGAAAAGAAAAGCATACTTTCCCAGCTAAGGAAAGATGTCAATGCTGCAGACCACATCATAAACCCATGTCATGCCAGAGGGACTTCCAAGAAGACGGAAATCCCCAACCAAGCAAACAACAACAAAACCCAAAGCAAATTTGGTGGCAAGTAGAGGAAATAGCATACAGCTTGCTTTTATTTAAACTATTTTTCTGTATGCCCTGAGTACATACTTGCATCTGCGTTGCCAATAGTATTCAGAACATTTAAATAGGAACTTTACTTCTAAAATGCAGCAACATCACATTAGAAAGAAGCCTCAAATTTTAGCAAAAGCAAAGCACAAGCAGCTGTGAATGCAGAAACATACATTAAATTGCTACACTTTTCATTCAAAACTTGTTTTTAAAATCCCACGCAAAGAAAATTTCTTCCCTTAAGCTTCTCCACTATCACATAAGATAACCAGCACCTTACTCTTCCTTGTGCCTTCTTTAGCTTAGTGACAACTTAAAAAGCAGTGGAAAAAGTACTACCAAGCACTACAGCCTGGACACAAGCGAACACAAGGATTACTTGGGCTCCAAACCCATTACACACAAACTCTCTGAGCAACTGCCACGTTGCTGCTCCACAGTCAGGAACGTAGAACTACAGAAGAGTTTGCTCCTCATTTATTGAAAAAAACTAAAAGCAAAAATGTCCCTGGTGTGATTGTGGAATAAAGATGTTCCACTGCATCCAGCTATTCCTCTAGAATCAATCACAGTTGCACTTTTACTCTCCCTGATGTCACAAGAAGGATAAAAGAGAATAACCAAACCAATGGCATTCTTTGCTGGCTGGCTGCTGTATTAGAGCAAAGAAAGTTTCTGAATGGTTTCAGCAAAGATTCAATAGAAAATATGCAGAATGGCACTCAATTAAAATTTCTCTCATCTCTCTGCATTGCACTGAAACATGTGCAATGGGGATATCTAAAAATTATTTGCAGAATTTGGAAAGATTAATAGAGAAGATACAGAGCAATACATGAAAAGACAGGGCTGAAATGGAAACTATCACACCAGAGAGATGTAGCATTCTTCAAGAATTCTTACTTAAATATTTGCATTATAAACATCTACACAAAATTTAACATGTACTGATGACACAAACGTGAGGCACTATCACCCTGAGGCACAGGGGAGTAGCAAGGTACCATACAGAAAGAAATGGAACGGAAGAAATGGAAACAGGAGGAAATTCAACAGAGCAAAATCCGAGCTTGAACACTGCAGGAAGGATTTCTGTTCAAAACGATAATATTATAATGAAAATTACCATAAGATGGGAATGAGTTGATCACAAAATTACTACAAGCCACCACCATCAGCCAAAAATAAGGATGAAAACCTTTCAGCAGTGAGATTGGGGAAAAAAAAATAACCAATTTTGAATGTTCTTTCAATTCTTTTTATAGTTTGTTATACATAGACACATACAAATGTTTTAACATCTTCAAGCTCATCTAGAACTTAATACTGTCAGGTTCATTCATTCTGAATAGTCTTTTATTTCAAAAGCAGATACACAGAAAATTAAATTATTCAAAGCAAAGCATTTATTCAATATGAGTAAAAGTAGAAGGTGCAAGTAAAGCTGTATTATATGGCTTGTATTGAAAGAGTAATTTAAAGCAGCTTTTTAGTCTACACAATGGAGTACATTTACTTGTATCTTCCTCATAATTTTTTTATTTTAATATGAAAAACATGAAGACTCGAGTAAAAATAAGCCTAAGCACGATCATGGGAAAACAAGCAAAAATTACACAGATTTTTTGATAGCATGGCTGATTAAAATTATTAATCTACCAGACATGATTAAATACAACTAAAAAAATATAGCTGCACATCGTAAAAGCAATGTGAGATAGGTCTCTTCATCACTTCAAAATGTTATCAGAACATGACACCAGGAGTCCGCTCTTTTCAAAGGTACCTACTTTTCCAAATACATTACCATTTCAAATTAAAAGACTAAATATTTATATATGTATTTCTATCAATATTTAAAGTAACAACATAGGATTTGTGGTAAACACTAGTTTTCCTATGCTAACCTGCTTTTTTAAACTGGTATGAAAGTGAGAATTTTTTTACTCTATTTGATTCATATAATTTCAGAATATAAACTGGCAAAACAAGTATTTCCTCTACTTAGAAGGGCATTTGCTAATTTGAACTCAACTTTTCTCTGTATTTTGTTTTGGTCAGTCAAGTACTTCCTATATTCTAATTACCTCAGAACTAATTAATGATATATTCCATGCAATTCCATAAGCCTTTTTAATAAATTGCAACAGTAGGTTTTATCATGAAGACCTGTGCAGAGAAACCTTATAATAAGTGTGAGCCCAGAGATCTGTAGGTGAGTATTTTTGGTCACACCTTGTACCGCATAAGTCTGCTAGCTTTTTTCCAACCCCGCCACCTATTTTCTTACTGGCTTGAGTGTTCATGTCTTTTTACTCACTTCTGTGCTCCCTGAGACAACAGCTTTGTCCACGTTCACCGATAGCTGCTCTTCAGTCTGGCAGACTCCCAATGACCACTCCGCACAGCGGTGATGAGCCCAGCAATGACCTAATGCATTATGAAAGAAAAAGATCTTTGGTTGTACAACTCTTCTGAGCACTTCCTGTAAGTATGGAACTTAGTTCCAGTAGTAAATACTTGCCAGATAAAATGAACAGTCTCTCTTCCTCCTCTTCTTCTTGTTGCAATATTTAATACCTTTTTTATCATACACTGAATATATTGCAGTTACTATCAGACACTAAATATAATGCAATTTTCTTTTATACATAGCACACCTTCCTCTTAATTTTGGCACATTCTGTCTATCTGTTTATAATTTTCACATGCCTGATCTTGTAATCATAGCAGTGAGGTGTGTATGATTTTATATGCAACGTTTGTGTGAGACACACACAGTTACATTTGATCTTATAATTCACTGTAGGTAACATCTGTCTATGTGTGTACTCTTAAATTATGATTTCCAAGGACCAGATACAGATCTGTATGCTCATGTAGAACATACTCATATGATGCTTTAGAATTCTACACACAAAACTTTTAAAAGCTCAAAGTACAGCATGAACAGAAACACCATAGAAATGACTGAAAAAATTGTGTGATGCAAAAAACACATTATAGAGATATAATTAGAAATGTTTATCTACATAACCAAAAAATTCAGAGTTTGCAGAATTCAACAGGTACCTCTTAAAAGAAGTTTCTAATTCAATTCAGGGAAAAACAATGTAAATGATGCATACTTCCAAAGGAATTCTGTGACATCTCTATACTAGATTAGAAACGACGCTTTACATTAGCTGTTGAAATTAGGTACCTGGTCAACATAATCATTCAGCAACAAAAAAAACAGCCCCCGTAAATTTTGCTAAGGGCTTGGGAAGAGTCATCTACAAATAGTAACAACTTTAAAAAAATTTAGATTGATAAACTCCCCCCACCGCCCATCCGCATACACTAGGGTATAACTATTTAAAACAAACCATTAAACTTTATTTTTAGACTTTGAAATTAGTTTCCACACCCATGAAAGAATGCTATTTATATTATTGCACAAATATATTTCTATTTTTGAGGCAAAATACATGAGTGGACTACCAGCATCAAACATTTGCACACAGATGCTTTCTGAACAAGTAATTCATAACTGAGTAAAAAGAAAAGTTCCATTAAAATGACAGAGCAGACGACAAACCAGACAGTTCTCTGCCAAAAAAACCTGCAGATACTGGAAACATGCACGTGTATTGTGCCTCTGTTGTTCTAGCAGTACTGCTCTTAAATCTCCCATTCCACTATTTCCGATAACCCCGTGCTAGCAACAGGAGATTAGGTAAGGCTACAGGAATAGAACCTTAAGAATTATATTAAGCTGTATCTCATTTCTTTTTCCTTTTCTCCCCAAAATACTATCATGATACTGAAGATATTACAACCTGAACACCAGTTCAGCAGTAGATTACAACTATTCCCCACACAAAGCTGATGATTCTGTCCAGTACTTGAATAGGAGACTATAACCCATATAACATTGGCAAAAGCCACAAAAGCATCATCAGACACTTGACAAACACCAGAGCACAGAAAACCAACAGCTGAAAAACTTCAATCACCACCACTGTAGCTACTGTATTACTACTGGATGGGGAAAAAAGGAGGATAGCAACGTATCTTACCTGTTGGCTCAAATAAGGCTTGAACATCAATGTCATCTGGTAAGCCAACTAAACTGAGTTCATCCCAGAATTTGACAACCTGATCGTCAGAAGCAGTTTGGGTGCTTACACTTGTACATGATGCTATACTCCATCGAGATCTGTATTGGGGAGCAGAAAAACAAAAACTCAGAAGTGACCACATTCTTTGTTCAATTAGCTAGATACTTGTAAATGATCCAAAATTCAAGGAAAGTGAATATCCATTTTTCCAAACATGATAAAACAAAAATCAACATGAACAAAAGTATTCCTTCTTCCTCATACTTTAGCCCAACATTTTTTTCCCAGTAACAAAGTTTTCAGTTAAAGCTGCTATTAAATAGACAAAAAAAAGTGCTTGGCAAAATGTCCCTTTCCTCAGCCTGCTCTCTTCCAATTCTTCAGGACACACATGCTTCTTTTTTTAAAGTCCGCTTCCGTTTGATTTTAAAAGTTGCCCAACCCTAGGAATGGAGAATTAGGTAACAGCAAGCCGTCTGTGTTACTCTGGGGAAGAATAAATGTAGAAGGAAGAAAAGAGAGTGGTGTCAGCGGCGAGCACCAGCTGCAGCTTTCATATAGTCCTGTCCCTGCAGTCTTAACAGCTGGTCCAGGGTACAGCATTGACAGTATTGTCAAAGATGACTGCCACAGCCAGAGGTAAGGTGCCTAGATAAAATACAGCAACTATATGGGGAAGGTAGAAAAAAAGACCAGCAGTGAAAAAGCTACGTGGAAATAAGTATCTTTATCCAATGCCATCAAGAGGTTTGTTTTTTTGTTTTTTTGTTTTTTTTTTTTTTAAAAAAAAAAGGGGGGGAAAAATAAAATAAAAGAAAATAGGAAGGGGGCAGGAGGAAAGGAGTGTAAGAGAATTGAAAAAGGAAAAGTGATATAAAGACTACTATACTGTGCTGACATGGGAGGATCTCATTTATAACCTCATTAATTCGTTTACCAAATGCTAATCTCAACAGAAAACAAGTCCTAAAACTCAGATTATTCCACTAAAAAAAGGAAGTGATGACTCCTCCTCCTTTATTTCCTGCAAGCAAAAACCTGTCTTGGACGTCTAAGGATGTGCATTAGGCTTACTGACAAAAGAGACCTGATCTCTGACGCTTCAGCAGCTGGTTGGAAAGGTGGTGCTGCATTTTCTATTAAGGCTCTTCTAACTTCATTATTCTCCCCCGTTAATAACTCAAACACATGCATTTGCTATTGCTTCCGAGTTTCTGGAGTTTAGACAGCACAAAACCATCTCTCCTTCTTGACTGCTCTCCTACTTATAACCTCTAAAAAGATGTTAAAAAATGACCTACCACCAATAAGCCAAGAGATAGAGTAAGCACTGGAATTTTAACTTGAGATAATTTTGCCTTTCTGAAAACCATACTTGCTTTACTTCAGCAGTTACATTCAGAAATACATGAAAAAAACTTTATCTTATGGGGAAGAGTAACATCCTTCTTGCACCACCAAAGAAATTTTTAAAGTTTTCAATTACTACATGATATTTTCATGACCCACGTCATGACCAAAGCTAAACATCAAAAAGAAAAAACAAAACCAAAACCTGTTAACTCTGACACTATCACCATTAAAACTCCTCTCAATAAAGCATTATATTAACCCACGCTGTTCAACAAAGCTGGTTCCTGAACACCGCCCATGTCCACTGGAGCCACCTCCAACATTAAACTACTATGCAAAACACAGGAGTTTAAAGCAACATTAAAAAAAAAAAACAAAAAAACAAAACAAAAAAAAAAAAACCACAACCACTAAATCCCAATTGACAAGGCATTTTTATTAATACAAAAGCTTCCTCATGAGATCAACCCAAACCATTTAAAGGATATTGCAATTTACTCTGTAATTTCATCCTGAACATAAACGCTTTCCACCCCATCCTGATCTTTTGTACTTAGCCTTTTTGTAAATAACATTTCACGTGCCTATAAGAGTAACTGTCTGAGGGGAGGGGGGTCAGTTTTATTAGCTTTAAGAAAAGCATAATTTCCCTATCGGCATTACACAAGGCCCATTTTTGACAACGCTGACATAATTTTACCAATCACAATTTTTCTGCTGTGCATCCGAGTAACATCAGCCAGCACACAACACACTGAACAGCTTCCCCAGCAGTGGAGCACCAGATGCGTTACCGGGCAGCGCCAGGCCGAAACGCAAAGTTCAGCGGCGCTAACCCAACACGCATTAACCAAATACGTTCGGGGCGTATTTTCGGTCAGATTGGAAGAGCAGCAGCCCCGCCGCCCCTCACGGGAAGGGGGTGCCCGCCACCGCCCCTCACGACGGCTGGGGGGGGGGGGGGGCCGCCGCCGCCACCGCCCCTCAGGGGAAGGGGGCCCCGCCACCGCCCCTCAGGCGGCTCCGCCTCCCGGGGCGGGCGCGGCCGTCGCCGCCCCCGTTATTGTTTCGCTTCCCCGGCCGGGCCCCGCGGGCTGGCGGCGGCCCCGCGCCCGCAGCCAATCCCCGGCCTCCAGCGCGGCGCGGCCTGCCCCGGGCCCGGCGGCCGCCCCCGGCCTCCCGCCGCCGCCCCGCTCCCCCCGCGCCGAGGGGGAAAAACTCGAGTGCGCCCGGATTTAAAAACGCGCCTCTCCGACCGCTCAGACGCCAGCGCCAGACGCACCAGATACCGGGGCAAAACTTCCCCGCGGAGTTGTGTCCGTCCCTGCCATCTTTCAGCGTTACTGAAAGATGGAACTAAGCCGAGGGGGTGTGGGACATGTTCCTTCGATGGTGAAAACCACCCTTGTTGGGAAACCTGCCAACAAACCCCACTTCTGAAGGGTAAGAAACTGGTGCTATGTGCCTGCAAAAACGCTGTCCTCACTGCAACAGCCCACTGTGGTGGGCAAGGGAAAAAGCTTCAACAAAAGGGGCAGAGGCTTCCAATTACTCCAGTCTACAAAATACATGCAGTGTCCGAAGTCCATTATCTTCTCTCCTGTGTCATACATCAGCTCCAGAAGTAGATCAGTGCTTTACAATGACTGTGTCTTTTCTATGTCCTTCCAGAGTCAAGATTCTCACGGGAGGGGAGAAACCAACCAAGCTTTAAAAAATGGAAGAGACAGCTATTCCTACACTGCTTGCAGCTGGGGGGTTTGGTTTTTTTTTTTTTTTAAATTACTTATATTAATGACCTGCATTTTCACAAATACAAGTTACCTACCCATTGCACTATGGTATCTGTAAAGATGCTTCCTGAACTTCATGCAAAACAAACAAAAACCCACATTTATTGTAGAATGGACTTACTTCTTTTGTCCTCTCTGTTTGCGCGGCACTGAGTTTTGCCTTGGAGTTCTCTCACAAGCTCCATCGGTGCTGTCGCTGGCTTCACTCTTATTTAAAGGCTGGTTTTTCCATGGGATAACATACCCAGGAGTTGGACTGAATTGTTTTAAGTCTCCTTGTCCTAATGAGCTCCGTTCTCCACAGTAACAAAAGGCGCAGAGTTGTTCGCTGTGAAAGGGAAGATAATTACTTCTTTTTCTGGGGGAAAACAGCAGCGGATATACCATCAAAGACCAACTTTCATGCCAATTTAACCTTTTATAACAAAACAAAAAAAGCTCCTGAGCGCTGTCACAGGTATCAGAATTCAGCATTCAGGAACACTACTTGCAGCTAAATTAAAGTTACATTAAAAGAACTTTTTTGTTCACAAAAGTGCATGATTAACAAAACAAAAAAAAAGACCTATTTGACATGTAATACTCAAATTATTAACATAACCTTTCTGTTTAAAAATTCCATATCTCTTAGACATGTGCTTGCTAAAAGGCATCAGAAAATGGGGGGCGGGGGAAAAAAAATTGAAGGAAGAACTTAATTAACACCTAACACCCATTAAAAGAACTCTGTTACCATCATAGAAGAGACAAAGCTTTGCCTTTTTAAACACAGAACATTACTACACATTTATCTTTCCATAAGCACGTATACCTTACGTGTAACACAATGTGCAAATACCATACACCAAAAGGTTTAATGAAACATGGAAAAAAGTAGAATAATGAGAAAAACACAGCAATGGCTACAGTCACACATACCAGGGCATATGACATACACAAATCCAAATATCCTCCTTTACTTTATATTTAAAAACAGAACGATGCCTAAAAGTTTTACCAGAGGAAATGTGTATTTACAGAACTGTGACCACTACAATATCCCTGTACCATTTGCAATTATGTTTTAACATGCATAACATAGCAACAGCATTGAAATGACAGCTCTGACAGCCCTCCTTGTGTCACATCATATGGAAGCTACTGAAAAATATTTCTATAATAAACATACCCACAAACTTAAAATGTGAACTTCTACAACTAATGCAGTTTGCATTAAAGGAAGGCCATTTAACACATTTTTTTATGCTTAAATGAGCAATTCTGTTTTCTTCATATTTATGCCCCTAAGACCCCAAAAAGATGCCTCAGGGAATCAGGCACTTGGATAGAGGCTTGATTTTGCCTGGATGCCATTTAAATAGATTTCAGTGCATCTCCAAGGTGGCACATTTGGGTTTGGGGCACTCTGTGTTGGGTGGGTGAGTGGAAGGAAGTAAAGTGGGAGGAAGTGAAAACCTTAAGGCTAAACTCCTGTATAATATTCACTAAATTCTGAGGGGAAAAAAGAAGGAGTGCCTGTGCTTTTCAGCCAGGTGAGACAAGAGAAGCAACAGAAAAAGACAAGTAGAAAAGGAAAGTTCTGGATCAGAATAGAAGACCATGAGAATCCAGAAAAGCCCCTTAGATTTGGTTTAACACATTCTGGGACAGGTCTTTTTGCTCTCACCATAGAGCAACACTAGGGGAAAACAAAAAAAAAAAAAGGAGAAAATACAAGTGAGTACATAAAATGCCTTTGTCATGCTCTACTATTACAGTACCGGTAATACCAGACAGACAGATGCTAAGGAAGGGAGCAGCATGTCACGAGCCCAAAATGAAGCCAAATACTTTTATTTATGCTCTATAGGTAGGACTGCACTTTCTCTAAGCCAGGCCGACCTTTGGGGACACGCAGGTTGGTGGGCTGGTAAAACAGGTCCCAGTCATGGTACTCAAATTAAGACCCTACCATAGCACTATTAGGAAACATTTATCCTCCTATCCATGGCCTCCGCCACACATCCCGCACTGATCCTGCCTGGACACTGAGCCAGTGTGAGCCAGCACGACCCCTTGGAGCTGATGGTAAATGTACGACACATTCCAAAAATCTTTAGAAAATAGTACCCAGAGATATAAAGACGCAAAGAAAATATAGATAAATATAGCATAAGAATGGGGAAAAATTAATAGCTACAGTTAAACAGTACATATGTCTATTTTAAAGCTAGTTTTCAATGTGATAAAAGTAACAAACAAATTATTATTTGTATGTCAGTGAATATAACCACTAGACAACCAGTGGAACCGGATCTGGCCTCACAGGCAGAGTTTATAAGAAGGGAAAGCAAAGCTATTTATGCTAGCTGAGGCTAGAGAGACTTGTGAGGAGACTTAAGAGATTTAAACAGGCAGCACCATGGTATATAAATTACACTAGTTACAAACACAAGATTATCCACAGTGGAATAAATAATTATTCATACATCCTGTTAGGACAGACTATCACTGCTCATTAAAAGACTCGAGGATAATTATCACTAAATAAACAAAGCTCCTTAAAGTGAAGTCGTAGCAAATATGCAATGATGTTAAGGTTTATAAAAGAGAAATACGAAACAGTAATTAAAAAAAAAAATATGAAAATAAAACAAAAACACAAAACAAACTAACTTCTAAAGTGGTATTATTTGAAAAGGGAATACAAGGGTAAAGCAGATCTTTCTGGAGCCTGTGAGGCAGCTCTGGTATCACAACTTCCAGCAGTAGCTTTCTGCAGGCAGAGTGAAGTGAAACAACAGGAGCAGCAAGTTTCACAGCTACTCTGCAGCGTGGTGCGGACAGCTGTGAAGCTGTCAAGAATCATATGGTTTGTGCTACTGCTCCTGTTCCAGCAAAGCTGGGGACCGCAGCTGAAGCAAGCGCTGGAGCACTCGCTGCGGGAAGGGGGCTGGGGGAGCCCTTCGATGAGGGCTCATGAGCACAAAAATGCAGCAGGAAACAGGAGCAGCAGAATATTCCCAGACCAGAGCCAAGAGACTGTGGGGCTGAGAGAGGGGAGAGATTGTAAAAGCAGAGAGAAAAAGAAGTAAAAAACAAAACAAAACAAAAACAAACACAAAAGGTTTCACACTTTCAAGGGAAAGTAAGCAGAAGGGCTTCAAATGTATCAGCCCCCCAAAATACCTAGAAACAACCAGCGGTAGCGTACGCCCTGCCTAGCATCTGGATGCTGGGGAGACCCTCTGCAGGAAAGCCGTGGTCCTTTGCTTCCCAACCCATCACACTGCTGAGTTGTCATCCAGTACAAAGTGGCCAGTGCCATCACGTTAGCCTTTTAGGTTTAAGTGCTCAGTAAATATTTTAAGTTATGTCTGTATAGGCAGAAGGTAGAGCTTTTTATTCCTATCATCTGAGGATTGCAGAAAGTACTTACAAATCTACTTTCCATATGTCAATATGCAATTAGAGGATCTAAATCTGTGATGCAAGAAAAGCTCTCATATTGAAGATAACGAAATTGAGATACTGGCAACTCTTAAGATCAAATCCTAGATCTGTTATCATAATTAGCATATTTTCAGAACAGGCTAATTCAAAATGGGATAACAAGCAAGAGACGACGTGTCACATCTTTTTAGAAGCTACTAAGGAAAAAAAGAAAGAGAAAGCTCACCAATACTCCATTTAAGATGTATCTATGGTGCTCCAAACCAAAATACAAATTCATCATTATTTCTAACTTCAACTTAATTCCTAAATTTTCCCAGAACAAATGCTCCCTTTTTATATAAGTTTAAAATTCCATCTGTGGTTTAATACCAATGGGTGCTTATATATCTCACTTCATACCAAAGGATTTCACACATCTGTAGGCACACAAATCTTGATATACAATGCAGAGGAAAAAGTATGTTCAGAACAAACCACATACAACTGGGTCTAGGAGATGCAGTAAGAGGCAACAAGGCCAGCAACCTTTGAAGCTAATGTCTGTCTGTTCCTACCAAGCCATGAGAGGAGATCCAGGCCTGGCTTTTGTTAGAAAGATGTGCTTTCTAACAAGAAACATGTAGAGCTCTACTCTGCTGCAGTCATTGTCTTCTACAAGCTTTTACTTCATTGAGTTGTCCAGTCAATGCCTCTACCTCACACAGAATTTACTCAAACCCCTGACAAGAATCTAAGATGCTACAACCCTCCCCAGTCCACATCCTGACAAAGGAAAACAAAATGCCCTCCGGACAGTTAATCCTGGAGGAAGGGAGAACAGTCACTACTTCCTCTGCTTGACCGATGACATACAGTCATTAGGACTCAACCTAAAACACAAACTTTCCCGTTGAAAGGAGGTCATTTCAACACATAAAGTATTGGGCAACTAGTTGCACAATTTTAAATTACAACCAGAGGAGAAACATCTTCTGGTTTGCTTGAAAATATTCAGTCAGAGAATGAAGGTAAAATTGCCATTCCCAAAAACTTTTTTAACAGAATTAAGGCTGACCGTGGGGATTACCAAGACATCAAGCACACCAAGTGCCGCTGTAGTTATGCTCCCAAGAGTAAGCAGAAGCCCCTCCTGGATCCTTCTGAATTGGGAAATGGCACTGGGGTATCCTGCGTCAGCCAAGGCTCCTTGATAATAAGCAGATGTGCAGACTGGCTTACGTAAACATGTTTTGTTTATGCGGTGTCCCGTATCTCACAGATCTACACTTGTGTCTACATGAGTACTGTGCTGTGCAGCCAGTGGAAATCTTCAGATTGGTCCACAGGAGTCTGTGTGAGACTCAAAAGTATCAAATGTGACTTCTCACTCTCCTGCTTATTTTTCATACCTGGCTAGAAGGCACAACAGTCTGCAATGATACGAGGCACTGCCATCCACCCACAACTCTGTGTATACAACTGGGGGAATACATTTCCCTTCCTCATTTTCATACGAATAACTTCTTTCCATGTCTCCAGGATCCCGTACAGCTGAATGCCAACGAAGACAATAAATAGCCTCTGTTGAGCACACCTATCAGTAAGACTCTTGAAATAATACAGCCTTTTTAGTACTAAATGGTGAAGGAGGCAGACTAAAGAAAATCCTACAGCTGCCTGTTCTGCAGAGAGGTGTTCAAGATCCCCTTCTTTCAGGAGAACACGCACAGGGGAATCCCAACCATCCTACAGAGGTGAACGGAAGCTGTCAACAGCAGGAGAAATACAAACGCATGGATTCAGCTCAAGAGATGCTCTTCTCTTACCTTTTCTGAAATCCCTCCCAGCCTACTGTGGGACAGCAATTGTCAAAGAAGATTTACTGTGCATTCACTTTTTCAATCAATCTTATTA